CTCGGATAATGGCAGTTTGTGGACATATAATGGTTGTTGTGATCATACCATTCTTATATAATGTTCCCACAAACGTAGATTTGTGTGCCAAAATATCTTGGCACCATTTAATCGCAACATATGACATGAATCGGAATATGAATATTGTGGATGATGAATATTTATGTGGAAAATTGATGTATTTCCATAATTTTTATCCTTTTATCTTATTATCATTTTTATGTTCTTTATCCTTTTAGCCTTTTATCTTATATAGACTACATTTTTACCATTTCTATCTTAGCATTTTTATCTCCATCTTTTTGTTTATCTTACCTTATATTTTCTTTCTTTCTAATCTTTTTATCTTTTATATCGCGTTAGCTCCGATCTCATGTGTCATCAAGTTAGCCAATTAACCGAAACTCTTTTGAGATTAAAACTTGGATGTTGTTGTAGAATTGTCTTAACGAGTTGAAAACTGAACTTATAATCCAAAGATGTATATCGCTTTGACATTGTATAATCTATTTGCGGGTTAAAAACTAATCTGCACCGCTACGCAAGCTAAACAAAATAGACTAGTGTCACACGACTCACACCCGATCAACTACCGTATACTTGTTCGTGTCCATCTAGCAGCGTCGCACTTGAGAAAATTTCTGGTTAGGTCATTGGTGTTAGCCGAGACACAATGCTAATGTCATCATGGTGCATTTCTGTTTTCAATGGTTTAAGCCCGAATGGTAATTGAACGAGCATGTCAAGGCTCGTACTATTTTTAAAACCTAGACCACGAATTGAATGTGAGACCTCGCAGTTCAATGTTTGTTCCTAGACTCTGTTTACTCGGAATCGACACATGGTATAAAGTACATATTGTACTATTAAAGATATTGATGTAATATCTTTGTCCCGAAAAGGTTCGCCAAATTGATTTTCTTGATCAATGATAATCGACTTTCGCTAAATTGATTTTTCTAAAATTTGGATCATTATTTAAGAAAAGTCAATACGACGAATCCTTTCAAACTTGGTTCGTAGAGTCTCTTCAAACTTCACAACATGGATTTCTTGAGTTCGAGTGTGTGAATATATCTGCTTTACATTTCTTGATTTCAAGTGGACTTCTTGTGAATGTGTTTGGCCCCCATGATCAAATTGTAGTTTATAATCTACGAACTAATAACATGCATTCAAGTCGATCTTACATTCTTCAAATTATTGGGATTTGGGAGAGGATCCACATTTGTGTTAATTACAATTAAACGAAAACTTACGTGTGTGCATTACGTATAATACACTCCGAAGGTAAAGTTCTCGTAAGTTTAACAAAGAAATTAAGAAAAAAATTGAGTAAGACTTTGAATTGGTGCAAATAAAGCTAGCTAGCAACTGTTAAGGTTGCCATTAATGTAATGTGACATACTACTTTATCTTGTGGTCACAGACTGGGCATGGAATGATGGCAGTAGGAGAGGTGGCCACAAGCAACTGGCAGGCTACTGCGATATGTCAATGCTGCTTATGTGTATACACTTATTTTTATTTACTCCGTAACTTACATGCATAGAGTCAATGTATATATATTACGGAGTAATAATTCTTGTGAACTCTAATTTCTCTCCTAGTAGACTTTTGAGGCATTAAGATAAATTTATTGTACATTTTTAAACAAAGTACTATTTCAGTCTTATTTTATTTGTCTAGCTTTAGTTTGACATAATTATTAATAAAATAGTTTAAAAATAAACATTGTGATTGAGATTTAATTATAATAAAGTGAAATGTTGTGAAACACAATTTTTTTTCAACAAGGAAATGTGACACTTATTTTGGGACAACCCAAAAAGAAAAATAAAATAGGTAATCGAATAGGTCGGAGAGAGTAGAAGATTATTGGTATTGTAGCAGTATTGTTTATTTTATTAAAGTGTAATGTAGCTACTTTTGAAGTGAATTTATTTCTTAAAAATGGAATTGAAGTGAAACACATATTCTCATACGGTAAAAAAAAAGTGAGAAACTTATTGTGATAGATAGAGAGTATATATTGGGATTTGGTATCAATTAAGAAAGGGAAAAGGGACAAATAATTAAACCCTCGAACTCACCAAAAAAGTGCAAATCACCCCTTATATAGGAGGTTCTGTCTAGCCGTCACTATTTATGGCGGTTCCCGGTGGAATTTTTTGATGATTTTTTTTAGAATCTTCTTCATTAAGTCTAGTTTACCCATACCAAATTTCAGCTAAAAATGAAACCGGGAAGACAATCAAATGATTTTCTGAAATATATATACTGCTCTGTTTAATTGCGCAGTTATCTTCAAAAATTTATTTGACTGTCTTCCCGATTGAATTTTTATCTGAAATTTGGTATGAGTAAACTAGAGTTAATGAAGAAGATGCTCAAAAAAACTCATAAAAAATTTCACCGGAAACCTTCCCAAATGACGACTACCGGACAGAGCCTCCTATATAAGCTAAGGGGTGATTTGCATTTTTTTGTTAGTTCGAGGACTTATTTGTCCCTTTTCCCATTAAGAAACATTGGGATTTGGTGATTTGAGAATAGTAAATTAATTAATGGTAACCCATATCCGGAAACCAAAATATGAATCATGCTAATAAATCTATTCCTCCATCTGTTCCAAAGATACTTCCTTTTTTCATTTTATTTAGCCAGCATTAACTTTTTTACCATGATGCTAAAGTTTGAGTGATGATATATTTATACACTCGTATGTAAGTATTTATTATATGAAAATGATATGATTTTTTATATTAAATATACTATTATAAAGTACTGCCCCATCCGAAAATACTTAGCCAAATCTAAAAATTTGTATCATGATTTTGATTAATATAATTCTATGTATTATGAAAGTTATAACTTTTAAACTTTTATGAAAATATATTTAGCAAAGAACATTTTCATATTATTTTTATATCATAAATAATTTCTAATGAATATATATAATTATTCAAAATTTTGAATTTGACCAAGCATATATTTTAGTACAAGGTAGTATAAAATTTATAAAAATCGCAAAAGTATATTACCTAAACGATTGGTCAAAATTTATCATCATTAACGGGAAAAGTCCTTCTAAAATTGGACGGAGGTAGTATAAAACTAAATATAGGTTACGAGGTTGACACAAGATTAAATAAGTTAAATCTCATGTATTAATATGTATTAGAATGTACTTTGTATATACTTCGACACTAGATTAAAAATGCACCGAAGCGCAAACAAAAATCCTATTAATATATAGTATGACGTTTTTGCAAATATTCAAATAGCTAATAGGTTTATCCACAAAAGTCTAATCATGTTTTTACTTGGACTGTTTTCAGTCCCAAATCAGATCAGGCCAAATTTAATAGATCAGATCAGACTTAAACATACCAGACCAGACCAGACTTAAACGGATCAGACCAGACTTGATCACTTGACTTCGCTAGTTATAAAATACATAAAGACCATACGTTTACCAGACCAGACCAATTCAAACCATTTTTTTTTAATCAGACCAGATCAAAATCAAAATTAAACAGATCAAACCTTGGACGAGTCAAAGTATAAACATCCTAACACGGAGTAAGTTTTACTAAAACTACGTATTTGGGAGCATCATTATAGGAGGAAAAGGGTAATAAATTAGGCAGTACAAATACGCATCTACTCTGGTCACTTTTGTTTTTGTCTACTTTTGTCTTGACAGAGTCATAAATAAGTTGAATTTGTGGTCGCAATTTGTTTAAATGTGGAACATTTAAAGAAAGCATTTCTACTTGCGTCCAAGAAAAAACATTTTTCTCAAAAGAAAGCATAAAATAATTTAGAAACAGATCGAAATGAATAAATATGATAAAATCAATATACAAGGAATGTATTTATATACGGAGTATGCATTATATTATTTTCTCGATCTATATGCAAAAACAAGACACGTATCAGTACTAAACTTTATCAATTTTTCTTGTTAAGTTTGTCTCTCCAAAAAAACTCAATATCCTTCCCAAAAAAACTCACCATCCATTTAGTGTTGGGATCTCTTTAGTGTTCTAAATGAATGGTGTGACCCATAGGAGTAGACTAAATCTGAAATTTAGTAAGTAGACTTGTTTCACTTCCGGACTACCTCATACTTAAACAGAGCTTATTAACCAGACTTTGACTATTCTAAAATATACTTCGTACACCGAAAAAGACATTCACTAAATCAGACCAGAAAGTTTCTATTCAATTAAAAAATCAGATTGAAATTTATGTCATCATTTATTAATATTTAAATTGTTCATATTTGACCCGCAATAAATATTGTGAGATATATATCTTGTACATAAAAATATCTTATTTTAATCTAGCTAGCTACTTATTAGCTAGTGGTGTATTGAAGTTTAACTAACCTAGCCTGCTACAACGTAACCACATGCAATGGCTTCATAAAATTAGTTAAACCGCTGTATTAATGAGGCCGGGATGGGGTGGTAAGTTAGTAGGTTTGCAGATTTAGAATTGAAGGGCCGTTGAAACTTCATTTATTATCCTCTAATGGCATTCATTCATACATACCATCCATGGTCCCTCATCTTACCTTCATCATCATCATCACGTACATGATATATCCTAGCTAGCAGGTTCATCTATATATATATATATATATGATGAATGAATAACTTTGAAGATTTTTATATATCATAAAAATAACTCCAACCCCATCATCATCATATCCATATTTCAAACATAAACATGATTTGATAATTGCATAACTTATGTACACAAAAATTATATTATATCTGTGTCATCAATAATAAATAATGATCATCAACAAACCTACCCTAGTGAGATCACTTTAAATAAAAGTGGGTAGTAGTGTCGGTGAGCGTTTCACACAATTGAATAGAACAGATTTGAAGCAACTCTAGCTAGCAGCTCCATGCATCATCTTCCAGATCATATCATTAAATGTTATGCATGTTTTTGTATATATATCACCCATCCAAACACTGACTAGCTCCATCACCCACCCAAGCCCACATTCCATGCAGGCTTAGCTTGCCTGCCTGCCCTACCATGCTACTACCTCTAATGGGGGATTTCCATCCGTCCCTGCGGCGCAGCGGCACCGGATCATTCCTCCTCCCGCTCCTCCTCCTCGGATCCTTCTTGTTCCTCGGTGTTTGCTACGGCGATGATAAGACGACCGCCCATGTTGTTGGGTTCGGAGAATGTTCTGACTGCAAGGACTATAACATTCAGACCAGTCATGCTTTTTCAGGTATACTTATAAATTACTTGCATAATAGATAGCAGTACTACACAGTTACTATATATGTTTAGTAGATTTTTGGGGTTTTTTGTCATTTCTGAATTTAACTTGGGAAACCATAAGGATTCTCTAAGGATGTTTTTACTGACATTGTTGTTTTTTTGTTTAAATTTGATGTTTCCACATTTCATGTTCCCCTTTTCGCCTATCCATGCTGCATAGGCTACTAGCCTACTACTAGTTGACATACATATATTAAGTCGTCAATCTTGGTTTAATGTTTTTTTAATAAGTTATGACATCAATAGTTTAATATCCATCTTTGACTTTTTATTTAGAGCAGTATGCTTAAAATCTGATGCAAATAGACACTATAAAAAATTCCCACTGTTGAAAAGATTTGTCAATTTAACTTTTTTTTATAAAATGACAACCAATTTTGACCAATGATATTTTTAAGCTCACAACTCCGGTACCCTTCTAAAAATGGGGTATCGTATCTACCATTTATTTGATTGGACCACACCACTTTATCATTTTTAATTTAGATTTAAATTATTCAACTGCTAGATTCTCATTGGTCCATGTGGACAAAGGTATGGTACCTTATGGGTACTATAGAATCTACCTATTTTTAATACGGAATTATTTTGAATACGATAATTATATCAAAATGTTCTTTATTCAAAATATTTTCATAACACTATAAAATTTGTAACTTATATATAAATATTATAATTAAAATGATTGTCCAAAATTTGTTATCATTGACTAAGAAAAGCCAATAAGTAGGGCAGAGCACGCGCGGGTCGGGTTCAAAAATTGTAAACCCGTTCGGTTATCGGATTGATAATTTCAAACCCTACCATACCAAAAAAATATCGTATTTTTCGGGTTGAAGAAGTTCGGGTTGCGGTCGCGTTGATTCGGTTTTCGGGTTTATTCGGATTTTAATTTTTTATTGTTGAAATTGTGACAAATAAAATGATAATTGGTAAAAATATCATTCAAAGTTATTAGTATAACATTCCAAGTAATAGTTGTATAAGTACGGTAATCGACATATTTGAACATGTAAAATAATAATATATGATGATTGACATATTTGATATTGTGATAAATAAAATGATAATTGGTATATACGAGCTTAACAGTTAACACTGAACAATACTTAGGTAAGGAGTATATATGTCATGGGTATTTCGGTTGGTCGGGTGGGTCGGGTAGCATATATAATTGGTAACCCTACCCGCTACCCGCTTAAGTCTCGGGTTGCAAGAATCGGATCGGGTTTGGGTATTTCGGGTCAGGTTTTCCGACCCAAACAAAAAAATCGGATATATCCGGTTGGGTCAATCGGGTAGGGTCGGGTTTGCTCTCCCCGTCTCCCCTACCAATAAGGCAGGGGTGGATCCAGAATGTTCAGGGGTTGGGGGCACCTATTAAGATTTTTTTTGAATAATTTAATAATTAAGTTGAAATGATGAAAGAATCCAACATTATCACACTATGAAGCATTACATTTTATTATAACGGTTTCTACGAGTTTTTTTAAAAACGATTGACCACAACTTCGTGGCTAACCGTATCAAACACATCTTTTTCAACGTAACATAACAAATAAGATGCAAACAAAATGCTTTGTCATCTCTTACATTAGATTCCAACCAACCTCTCGCATTGATCAAATCAATTTTGTTTAAATAACGGACAAGTACAAATCAATTGATTATAAACATTTTTAGTAATTAATTCAAAATGAACATTGTTTAGTGAAGATATACTATTTGATACATTAACACTTTAACACTAGCCTAGTCGCCTTTTTCAACACATCTATTTCTATGAAGGTGACATTTTTCTTTCAAAGTATCTCATTATTGTTGTTTAATCTGTCCAAATATATTTCGGTTCAAAATTACACTTATGAATATCAAAGTAAAAAGCATTTTCTTAAAAGTAAAGTTAAACTATTTATTAACTAAAAAGAAATAAGTGTACTACACAACAAAATTCTATTACGATTAAAAATTTAGCACCCTTATAAAATGTGACATTATTCATTTCGAAAATATAAATTCTAATCTAACAACGATTTTGAAATGAACTAATTTATACATATGTAATTAAAATCGCAAATAAGAAGCAAATTAGTAAAAACAAAGAGTAGTAGAAATTTATTAATCCTAAAAAAGATGATACAAATAGGAAAACTGGATCTGAGAGATAATAAAGAAATGGAGAAGTGTTTTATTGAAACATAGAAGAAAATTTTAATTGCAAATTTATAGTGAATGACCTTAGCCTTTCACGAATTAACATTTTGTATACTCAGGCAAGGATAGCTAATTGTTTTGCTCCCTAAGTTATTTTTCATTTTGACTTGTTTATTCATAATTAAATTATTAAAATAATAGGTTGAAATGATGAGGTGAGAGTTGGAGACTAGCAAATAGGAAGAGTGCCATTCAACAATGAATTGTGTTTAAATTAATGGGGGCATCTTTTATTTTCATTGGGGGCACCTCCTCATTTGTTTAAAATTAAATAATAAAATTTGAATAAAGCTACAAAGCCATTGGGGGCATGTGCCCCCATTCATTTACAAATGGATCCGCCCCTGCAATAAGGTAAACCTTTTCGGGACGGAGGTAGTAATTACCGAACTTAAACACATTATTCACAAGTATCTTTAAGTAATTATGTAACAGGAGTACTACATCTTACTGTCCTGATTTTCAAGTTCTCATATACAACTCAAACGATCAATTAAACTCTACTTTAATCTCTAGTATGAAGTATGATATACAATAGATTTAAATTATTCTAAAAAAAGTTTTGAGCTATTCAATTGAGCTTATAATATAGTTTCTAAAATATATAAGTTCTAGTTATTACGATTCATGTATAAATATTTTATCAAGGAAGAGTAAACTTTATTTTAGTCGCCATCATAAATTCCACGGAAAACTTCGAAATAAGTCAGGGAGCTAGAGTAACCTATTTTAGTTAACCTTAAATTAAATGTCAAAATAGGTTATTCTAAACAAGGATGTAGTATTATTATTACTACTACTTATAGTTATTATTATCATTGCTATTACGATGGTTTAATTTGGTGGATTATATGGTGCATGCAGGGCTTCGCGTGACAGTTGATTGCAAGGTGGGAAATGGAGAGATGAAAACAAGAGGAGTTGGAGAGATGGATAAAGACGGAAAGTTCCATGTCTCATTGCCCAAAGAGATGGTGATGAAGGATAATGGGGAACTAAAGGAAGAATGCTATGCTCAACTTCATAGTGCATCTTCTACCCCATGCCCTGCCCACAATGGCATTGAGGCCTCTAAGATTGTTGCTGCTAAATCATCTGCCACCGCGGTGTTTCAACCCGCGGGCAATCTTAAGTTCTCGACCGCGCTTTGCACGTCGGCTTTCTTGTGGCCATACTTCAAGTTCCCACCTATGCCCGACCTCCCACCGTTCCCAAAAATCGATCCGTGGAAGAAGCACTTGCCCCCATTGCCCCCATTGCCCAACCTCCCGCCCTTCCCTAACATTGATCCATGGAAGAAGCACTTTGGCCACCCCTTCCCTTTCCCACACCAACCTCCTGTTGATACTCCACCAGAGGAAAATCCACTCCCACCACCAGTTCCCGTCTCCGAACCCGAGCCCACACCACCCGTTTACATTCCACCTCCCGTTCCTGTCCCAGAAACCAAGCCACCGGTTTATATTCCACCTGTAGTGTCGGTTCCACCTCCAGCCCCGGTTTACACTCCCAGTCCACCAGTTTATATTCCACCTGTAGTTAAGCCTCTTCCACCCCCCGTTCCAGTTTACAAACCAAAACCTAAGCCACCAATTATTCTTCCACCTGTAATCAAACCAATTCCACCTCCAACCCCTGAATACAAGCCAAAGCCACCAGTTTATATTCCACCTGTAGTTAAGCCTCTTCCACCCCCTGTTCCAGTTTACAAACCAAAACCCAAGCCACCAGTTATTCTTCCACCTGTAATCAAACCAATTCCACCTCCAACCCCTGAATACAAGCCAAAGCCACCAGTTTATATTCCACCTGTAATTAAGCCGATTCCACCTCCAACTCCTGAATACAAGCCAAAGCCACCAGTTTATATTCCACCTGTAATTAAGCCGATTCCACCTCCAACTCCTGAATACAAGCCAAAGCCACCAGTTTATGTTCCACCTGTAATTAAGCCGATTCCACCTCCAACCCCTGAATACAAGCCAAAACCAAAGCCAAAGCCACCAGTTTATGTTCCACCTGTAATTAAGCCGATTCCACCTCCTACCCCTGAATACAAGCCAAAGCCACCAGTTTATATTCCACCTGTTCCTATATACAAGCCAAAGCCGCCAGTTCACATTCCACCCCCAGTTCCCGTGTACAAGCCAAAGCCGCCAGTTCCCGTATACAAGCCAAAGCCGCCAGTTCACATTCCACCCCCAGTTCCCATATACAAGCCAAAGCCGCCAGTTCCCGTATACAAGCCAAAGCCACCAGTTCACATTCCACCCCCCGTTCCCGTATACAAGCCAAAGCCGTCAATCCCCGTATACAAGCCAAAGCCGTCAGTTCACATTCCACCCCCAGTTCCCGTATACAAGCCAAAGCCACCAGTTCACATTCCATCCCCGGTTCCCGTATACACGCCAAAGCCGCCAGTTCACATTCCACCCCCAGTTCCCGTATACAAGCCAAAGCCGCCGGTTCACATTCCATCCCCGGTTCCCGTATACACGCCAAAGCCGCCAGTTCACATTCCATCCCCAGTTCCCGTATACAAACCAAAACCGAAACCACCAGTTTATATTCCGCCTGTAAAGCCGCTTCCACCCCCAACTCCCATTTACAAGCCTAAGCCACCAACTTACATTCCACCTGTGAAACCGCTTCCACCTCCTGTTCCAACATACCATCCAAAGCCAAAACCACCTGTTTACATTCCGCCAGTAAAGCCATTGCCGCCACCAGTTCCAACATACACACCAAAACCCAAACCACCAGTTTACATTCCACCAGTAAAGCCGCTTCCACCCCCAGTTCCCACATATATACCAAAACCCAAGCCACCAGTTTATATCCCACCGATTGTAAAACCACTTCCACCACCGACTCCCGCATATACACCAAAACCCAAGCCACCTGTTTATATCCCCCCGGTTGAAAAGCCGCTTCCTCCCATTACAAAGCCATTGCCTCCTCTCATCCCCGTCTACAAGCCAAAACCGCATCCACCAGTTTACATTCCTCCAATTGTAAAGCCACTTCCTCCTCCCGTTCCCATCTACAAACCAATATCAAAACCACCAATTTACATTCCTCCCATTGTAAAGCCATTGCCTCCTCCATTTCCCATCTACAAGCCATTCCCAAAACCACCAATCTCCTTTCCTCCAATAACAAAGACATTTCCCCCATTTCCTCCAATAGTGAAGACATTCCCTCCCTTTCCTCCAACTGTAAAACCATTGCCTCATCCATTTCCCATCTACAAGCCATTCCCAAAACCACCCATCACCTTTCCTCCAATAATAAAGACATTGCCACCCTTTATTCCCATTTACAAGCCATTGCCACCACTAGTAAAGAAGCCATTCCCAACTCTTCCTCCATACCCATTCTTCCCCCCTCTGACTCCTCAAAATCCCCAACCATAAATTTAATTTACATGCCATTACTTAAGTAGCATGTGCACAACATGATCATCTTTATGTATGTTTTCTTGGTGTAATGACTAGCTAGCTAGCTTTGCCTCTCATTGTGGGAACAAAAATGATCTGAGTTGAGTGAGCAAAGATTGTTGACCAGTTGGGCAAAAAAGTGCAGAGAGAGGCTAGCTAGCTAGGAGCTGCATATTAGTTAAAATTGCTTTTGTTTTTATTTTGGTCGTGCTTTTGTTTATTTGTTGATTGAGATTGAGCCCTGTTGGTTTGATGTAAAGTGTACTATTACTACTTCAGTTTAAATGATGTATACTGTATAAGTCAATTATTATTATTACCGCAAATAATAAATAATATTTTACTGCTTCAATCCAGTTCATGAACTAATTTATTAATAGCCATTTCTTTCTAGAATAACTTTATATATGGACACCAAAAGAATTTATTCACGAACTAATTTATTAATAGCCGTTCAATATGTTCATTGCACTGTGTTCATGTGTAAAGAATTGGGAGAAATGGGCTTCAAAAAAATCCGGGATTTTAATGTATCAACGTTAGCTAAACAGTCTTGGAGGATTTGTACTGAACCCGAGACATTAGTGGGGTGGGTCTTTAAAGCCCGTTACTATCTTAAAGGCACTTTTTTTACCGCAAAACGTGGGCATAACCCGTCATTCATCTGGCATAGCATTTTTTTAGATTCGGGAAATTATTAGAAATGGCTATTAGAGCTTGTAATTTTGAAGCTACTATCCTACCATTAGAGCATGTCTCTTCATTTTGCTTGAGAAAGCTAATTAGCCAAAATGAGCTACTAGCTTAGCAGGGAAAATTATTAAATATAGTACTCCCTTCATTCCTTTTCAATTGCAACACTTTCCTTTTTGGGAAGTTTCAAAATAATTGCAACTCTTCCATTTTAAGACATAAAGTGGTGTGCAAATGTCTTTACTACCCTCAATTAATTCACACCCACCACCTCTCTTTTATTAACTCGATTTCCGCTCCTTTCTTTTAATTTTATCCACCCACTTCTAATTTCTTCACTTCATATTCTGACTTCTTCTCTCCCTTACGCTAACTTCTTCTTCTGGAGAAAACGAAGATGGATTTGGATGAAGCTCTCCTATTAGCTCCGACTACCCCTCCTCGCAACTCGATTGTTCCATACATTGATTTGGTGGTTCTAGACACTCCTCCTCATGTTATTGCGCCTCAATACAGTGATTTGGTGGTTCCGGACTCTCTTCCTCATGTTATTGCTGCTTGGGAGGCTGAACGTTCAACAACAATTACAAGAAATAAAATCAGTTTGCCGAGGAGTGTGATTCCTGAGGACACGATGGTCTATCATCCCATTTTCGGTCTCAAGACCAAGCGGATGATGAGCTTTTTTGAGATACTTTGGCCAGACCAGTTTAAAGACAAAGAGGGTTGTCCCAAAGGTAATTTACCTAGTTATCTCTATATAATTTGGGAATCTTTTTTTGAATAATTTTTATGCTCTGAATTTTGGGTTGTGCAAATTAATGTTTTTACTTGGGGTTAGTTCTTGATACAAAGTGGGGTAAACTTAGTTTACTAGGAGTAATATATGGATGCGTAGAAATGGAGTATGTCTTAACAAAGCTCTGAGTAAATTTTTAAACGAAGTGGAGTAAATTTATGCTCTGAGTCTCAATTTTTAAAAGAAATGATGTTTACTATCTATTGGATGCGTAGAAATGGAGTATGTCTTAACAAAGCTCAATTTGTTATGAGAACCAGTATGTCTTAACAAAACTTCTTGACCACTATGCATTAAGATTAATTTTTTTTGTAATTTCTAAATTTCAAAATTTTAACTATTAATTTAAATATCATTACAAAACAGTAAATCTTATACGGAGTAATTAGTTACTCATCATAGTAGCAGTTTAAGGACTCTCATTGTTTAGGTGGGATTGTAAATGTTTGTATTGGAGTATCTTTTTTCATTCATGATGCAAGTTCAATTTACTCTTAAGGTTAGCTTAACTTAGGCCTTGGAGATTCCACCAATTGAGGGCTACTTGTGGGCAGGCCTAAAAGTTTGAGATAAAACATCTTCAGTAGTGTAGCATTTACAACCCATTGATGTATTTTTGCCCTGTTTAAGTTTTGTTTAATTAGAAGTGTTAAAATGTTTGCCTGGTAAGTTTTTCTGTAAGCCCAATTGATTTTTTTACCCTGTTTAAGTTTTTCTGTAAGTTTAAGTAGAAGTGTTAAAATGTTTGCCCTGTATGTATGATAAAAAGTTTGATGCAATAAAACAGAAAGAAAAAAAGAAACAAGTTAATAGAGCATTTCTGTAGAATTTTGTTTCTTAATTGCCTTATCTGTACCTGCTGCAATTTCAAATTACGTTCAGCAAATGTAATCTGGTTCTTCAAATGCAATCCTTAATTTTTAGTGCTAACTTTTACATTGTATTATCTACTATTAACATTACTTTGGAATTTTTCGAAATGTTTAAAAACTTTAAACTGCCATTATAAAACTAGTACCCAAAGAACTAATTCAGGCATTTTTTACTTCAACTTTAGGTTGCCAAAACTATACTTCTATACAAAATAATACTACTATCTGCCTTCACAAACTTACTACCTTTACCAAATGCTACTTTCCTTCACAAAATGCTAGTTTAGTAAGTTTGTATGTGAAGTATGTGAAGGAAAGTAGCATTTTGTAAAGGTGGTAAGTTTGTGAAGGCAGATAGTAGCCTTCACAAAAGTGAAAAAACAAATTTGCCTCCATATTGACCAAGCTTGCATTAAATGCTACTATTTGCCTTCACAAACTTACTACCTTTACAAAATGCTACTTTCCTTCACATACTTCATATACAAACTTACTAATTTTGTGAAGGAAAGTAGCATTTTGTGTAGGCAGTAAGTTTGTGAAGGCAGATAGTAGTATTATTTTGTATACATGTATAGTTTTGACAGCCTAAATTTGAAGTAAAAAATGTCTGAATTAGTTCTTTGGGTACTAGTTTTATAATGACAGTTTAAAGTTTTTAAACATTTGGAAAAATTCCAAAGTAATGTTAATAGTAGATAATGCAATGTTAAAGTTAGCACTAAAAAGTAAGGATTGCATTTGAAGAACCAGATTACATTTGTTGAACGTAATTTGAAATTGCAGCAGGTACAGATAAGGCAATTAAGAAACAAAATTCTACAGAAATGCTCTATTAACTTGTTTCTTTTTTTCTTTCTGTTTTATTGCATCAAACTTTGTATCATACATACAGGGCAAACATTTTAACACTTCTACTTAAACTTCCAGAAAAACTTAAACAGGGTAAAAAAAATCAATTGGACTTACAGAAAAACTTACAAGGCAAACATTTTAACACTTCTAATTAAACAAAACTAAAAACAGGGCAAAAATACATCAATTGGGTTGTAAGTGCTACACTACTGAAGATGTTTTATCTCAAACTTTTAGGCCTGCCCACAAGTAGCCCTCAATTGGTGGAATCTCCAAGGCCTAAGTTAAGCTAACCTTAAGAGTAAATTGAACTTGCATCATGAATGAAAAAAGACACTCCAATACAAACATTTACATTCCCATCTAAACAATGAGAGTCCTTAAACTGCTACTATGATGAGTAACTAATTACTCCGTATAATATTTACTGTTTTGTAATGATATTTAAATTAATAGTTAAAATTTTGAAATTTAGAAGTTACAAAAAAAAATAATCTTAATACATAGTGGTCAAGAAGTTTTGCATAACAAAGTCCAATTAAGACATACTTCTGGAGCACGTTTGATTATTTCTTTTAAAAATTGAGCATAGTGGTTGCCAAGACATAGTGGTCAGGAAGTTTTGCACAACAAAGTCCAATTATAGTTAATTTCCATAACAAAGTCCAATTAAGACATACTGGTTCTCATAACAAATTGAACTTTGTTAAGACATACTCCATTTCTACGCATCCATATATTACTCCTAGTAAACTAAGTTTACCCCACTTTGTATCAAGAACTAACCCCAAGTAAAAACATTAATTTGCACAACCCAAAATTCAGAGCATAAAAATTATTCAAAAAAAAGATTCCCAAATTATATAGAGATAACTAGGTAAATTACCTTTGGGACAACCCTCTTTGTCTTTAAACTGGTCTGGCCAAAGTATCTCAAAAAAGCTCATCATCCGCTTGGTCTTGAGACCGAAAATGGGATGATAGACCATCGTGTCCTCAGGAATCACACTCCTCGGCAAACTGATTTTATTTCTTGTAATTGTTGTTGAACGTTCAGCCTCCCAAGCAGCAATAACATGAGGAAGATAGTCCGGAACCACCAAATCACTGTATTGAGGCGCAATAACATGAGGAGGAGTGTCTAGAACCACCAAATCAATGTATGGAACAATCGAGTTGCGAGGAGGGGTAGTCGGAGCTAATAGGAGAGCTTCATCCAAATCCATCTTCGTTTTCTCCAGAAGAAGAAGTTAGCGTAAGGGAGAGAAGAAGTCAGAATATGAAGTGAAGAAATTAGAAGTGGGTGGATAAAATTAAAAGAAAGGAGCGGAAATCGAGTTAATAAAAGAGAGGTGGTGGGTGTGAATTAATTGAGGGTAGTAAAGACATTTGCACACCATTTTATGTCTTAAAATGGAAGGGTTGCAATTATTTTGAAACTTCCCAAAAAGGAAATCGAGTATTTGCTACCACTTTTTTATTTGGGTTAAGTTTTATTAAAATTATTACTCAATAACCCTATATATTTTTGTATGTTTTATTTATACTTTGTATCTTTCTCTCGTACTTTTTACATTTTTTCAACATTAATTTATACTATTATACTCTTAAATTTTGTGTAAAAGCCCACTATCCAAATAACAGAATTGCTCAGTATAAGACTATAACATAGACAAAATTTAAAAAAAAAAAACTAAATATGTTATATTCTTTCAATAGGACTTATTTAGTCGTATTAAAAAATAAGGCGATTACAAATTCTCAAAATATGAGTGATATATAGGTCGAAGTGAATGGATCCTATTTGAGAATAAAACAATGATAGTATATGAATTTATATACAGAAAAATATATACAATTAATTTGATAGAGCGATATTATAATTAACAAGTCAATTAGTAAGGTGTAAGTGAAATTCACCTTGAAATGACACGTGGCAATAAATTTTAAATGTTGAGACACAGTGGCGGAACCAGAACAATTTTTGAGTGGTGGCTGAAAAGTATGTCAAAATCAAGAGGATCTAAAACATCTACTATTTTTACTTCTCCCTCTGTATCACATTATCAGTCGCATTTGCTATTGCGCGTAATTTAAATTGATTATTTTACATTTTATAAAAAAATAAGAAGTTTATGATATTGTAGTGCTACTGTAGCTGCTTTTATGGTGAGTTTCTTAAAGAAAATTAGATAATTAATTTGATACGTCCCAAAAAAAAGTTTCAGATAAACTGATACGAAGGGAGTTTATGATTTTTAGAGTAAAAATGACAAAGCGAACTACAAAGATCTCTAGTTGTGTACTCTCTTGTACTTGATTTCTAATGAAAGGATCAAAGGCAATAATAGATTTTCGCAACTCTAGATCAATAAGGATGTCATTTCGATTGAATTCCACAAGAAAATGTTTTTGACGTTTCTTGTAGATTGAAGTAACCTAACAAATTTTAAAATTTTAAAACCATAAATTATTAGAACATGAATCACATACACATTATAATCTAAAACAAATAAAACATATCCTAACAATTCACACATTAGCCATTTCTATTTTCTGAAAGTATTTAAACTACTAAAACAATTTGAAGGAGTAAACAAGTTAAATACTATTAAAAATCTAAAAGTTTGAAACAAGAAAATAGAAGAACTATAACAAGGAATTAAACAAATAATTGAGTAAACAAGACTAAAATTAAAACAAATAAAAAATTATACAACCCTACTGTAGTTGTCGTTTGTAGATGATGTAGAGATGCTTGAGGCTTCACCCTTTCAGCCTCCCATTCTTACGCTATAGAAGTCACCAAAATCTAAATCGGTTGCAGAACTTTTTCAACTCCAAACAACCAGACTCCATCCCTTGCTAATTGCTCTTGCGTTCAGATTTGGGTTTTGACAATTTGGCCGGATAACATCGATAAATGAAGCATGCGGCTCTGCCCACAAGTCAACACGTGCCGCGATGTCGTTTTATTTTTTAGAGACACTTATCCAAACGGCGTCGTTGGGATTAAGTAAATAAAAAACAAAAGATTTTCTCAGCCAAAGCCCGCAGAGTTCCACCGGCGACGGAAAAACAGAGGGACAAGAACAAGAAGAACAGGGGCGGCTATGGAACATATACATATATATACTCTACTATTTCCGGCGAAGGGGTGGCGCCAGCATCGGCTAGCACCCCCGGTTCCGCCACTGCTGAGACATGTGGGAAATGCTACCTCCAACATGGATTATAAGGGTACTTGTTATTCTTATGTCAATTTTTTTTTTGGAAAATTTAACACTAATAATCCAACCTTTACCCGGTCTTCCCAAAACGGTCCCAATTATTAATAATCCAAGAAAAATCCAACCTTTGTATTCTCTCTGCCCTAAATAGTCCGTGTGACCTCTAACCGGCTAAAAAGGTAAAACTTTTAACGCCAACACACATACCAAGCTACGGAAATACCTGTCTACGGAAACAAAGAAAAAACCTTCAACCAATACTTGTCTACGGAAGTCTCTCTACAGAGTAATAAGAAAAGTTGAAAGTTTCAGAACGGGAAGATGGATAGAATTGATGACTGAGTTTTACTGGTGCGGCTGCGTTGAGAATAGGTAAATTTTCGAATTCATACTCTCCAGAAATCGTTTCTAAATAGTTTCTTAATAGTTTGGCTCGCTGTGCAGTTAGTAAATTGTATACGTCCAAAAAATGTGAAAGTTAAGCTAGTTTCTTAATCATTTAAGTTCATGAACGTGTCATCTTATAATGTCCATCAGTATTGAATTTTGTCTACAACTGTAAAGCTCCATTAATTGAGTGTGTCTTAAGTGTTTGATGAAATGCCACACCCATGCCTTTTAAAACTTTGTGGAAACTGAAACCAGATTTTGAGTAATAGTGAAGTCCATATTATTTAACTTGACTAAATAACACTGCCATAATAATTTTTTCAAGAAGTTTAGTTTATAATGATGTTGTTACTAATATTGAGAGTGTTTTACAAGTGTCATTGAAAAAGCTAAGTGATGTGGTGCAAGGTAATGCTAAATATGTTTTTATTCTTGTGTAGATGGCTGCAATGGACCGTGTAAGCTTGATATTCTGGCATGGAGGTTTGTTTATGAAGAAAAATGATAAATTGCTTTATTTGAATGGTGAGTGTAAGTCTTTTGACATTGATCCCGATGAATTGTGTTGGTTTTGGTTGGAGGAGTTGGCAAAAAAATGTGGTAGTTACACCCGCATTGAAGAAATTTATTATTTGGTTCCTGGTCTCCCCTTAGATAACGGGTTAAGGAGAGTATATAATGATAGAGAGGTACTAGAAATGAGTGAGATAGTGCTGAAAGCTAGGTCACTAGATCTGTATGTAGTGCATGGGCTTGATCAGGCAGAACAAGTGATTATGTTACCTTCAACTCCAAACACAAAAACTTCTATAGAATCCGCAAATGAAAACCAACTGGATGGTTGCAATGTTGTAGATCATGAGGTACAGACAGATATTGATGATGATGAAGCTGAATTAGAAGGTGAAGCTGAAGACTGCTATGATGATGAAGCAGAAGTTAGTGATGACGAATACAGAACTGCAAAGAACAGAGTCAAAGAATGCAATAATAAGTTGTTTGAAATTGCAAAACAACTTCAAAAAGAAGCGGAGGAAGGTATTCTTGAAGGTCAGAGAACCAATGTGAATAATTTGGAAAGTTGTTTGAGTGAGTATGAGGACACTGAGGAAGAAATTGACACTCCACCGGATAGTGCTGAAGAAGCCTTAACGGATAACAGAAACCATAAAAAAAATGATACTTTTGTCGATTCAAATACTGACTTCTCAACGTTTGAGTGGAAGGTGGGCCAAAGATTTGCTACTCGGGAGGACTTTAAGAGGGCTGTAGCTAAGTTTGCTATTCTACAAGGTCGCAATTTGAGCTTTGCTATGAGTAATAAAAAAAGACAACAAAGGTTGGGGGTAAAATGTGTAGATGGTTGTCCATTTAGGTTGTATTCTTCTTGGGATTCTAGAAGAGCTACATTTGTGGTAAAAACAGTAGTAGGGAAACACAATTGCCATAGAAATATGAAAAGAAACAAACAGTTGAAGTCTACATGGGTTGCAAGGCAGTTTCTTGATGTGTTTAAAGCAAGACCCCATTGGCCGGCTAAAGAGATTATTGAGACAGTGAAGAGAGCATACAAAGTAATTATTTCAAGAGGCTTTGCATATAAAGTCAAATATCGTTCCCATAAAATGCTCCATGGGTCTATGGAGGATCACTACAAAAAAGTTGGGCGATATTTAAGAGCCCTGAAGAATTCCAGTCCTGGGACTGAATTAGTATTGGTCACCGATGTTAATAACGAGCTTTGTCGCCCGGTTTTTCAAAGGCTGTTCACATGCTTTGAGGGGCTTCAAAAAGGGTGGAAGGAAGGGTGTAGGAAGGTGATATGTGTGGATGCATGCTTCCTAAAAACTTTTCTTGGTGGGCAGCTCTTATGTGCTATCGGAAGAGATGGTAACGACCAAATATATCCCATTGCATGGGCAGCCGTAGAAGGTGAAAACAACCGGTCATGGGAATGGTTTTTCAAGCTACTCCAAAAGTGTCTCGACTTGGAAGAAGGAGCAGACTTAGCTATTATTTCAGACGAGCATCAGGTAAGAAAATAATAAGAAAAATATAAAAACTTAAACCATGTTGATAGAGGCAGTGATAGTGTACCCAATAGTAACCCCTATGAGATTTGTATATTGTGCCAGCCCAAAGAACTCTATTAACATGTCTGACCTCTGAAATGCAGTTGGGAATCTGAGCAATTTAATTGAATCTTTTTCCTACAATAATGAATTCCATCTGGGGGATTGGGTTTTCAATAAAAAAATAAAACTGAACTCTTTATCTTTAACTCGAATTACTGGTACTTATTTTTGTGTATTATAACACTTCAAGTCAGTAAAACAAATTAAAGTGATTTCCTTGTGTTTTTTTTAACAATTTAAATGAGTATACATGCATAGCTAGTTTACCACTCTCACAGACTATACATACTTAGTTTGTGTTTTCTCTTTACTTTTATAAAAGTTTTAAGTCATTATTACTCTATTTCTTTTATAAAAGTTTTAAGTCATAAGTTTTAAGTCATTATGAGTACTGCATTTTTTTATTTCTCATTCATAATACCAGTTTCAAGAAATATGAATACATGTTTGGAATTTGTAGGCTATCTTGAATGCGGTTTCCAAAGTGCTTCCTCTAGCTGAGCATAGACACTGTGCGAGGCATATTTTTGTGATATCATTACTTAGGATTTGGGCACCATTGCTGTTTGTTATATGATGTTTAAGTAGATGATTTTGTGCTTCATGGGTTTGTAATATTTTGCACCATTCTGACGATCTGGTAATACATACCACATGCATTTTGGGTTATTTTGTTGTGGTTTAACACTAAAGTGTGGTTGTAATTTTTGGCCAGTTTATGTATTTACCAGTTTACCACATCTTGTTATCAAGCTATATTGTTCTCTTTATTTAAGTCTTTTATAATCGTGTTTGAGATATTAACTTGGCACCATGTGTACAAGTAATAATATGCACTCACAGGTTGTATACTAGTAAATATCAGTTCACTTGCTGGTATAAAAGTCCCACTTTATAGCAACAATATATATGAACCAGCAACTGTTTTCACTTTATAGGAGAATATAAGTCCTAAAAATCTGCTATCACCTTTTTGTTCATTTTGCTCATAAATGGGAGCTCCTTGTGTAATGGGACAAATCTGCTCACAGAAAAGAAAAACCTCACTCAACTTGATCTAATGGGACAAATCTTAAATGGTTTAATGCAGCAACTCCTTGTGCAAATAATGCCATATACTAGTACTCCGCATTTCATTACTCCCTATCTGGTACATCTAGATAATAACATTAATGAGAGTGGGGACAAAATTCTAAAATAATGAAGTTAATAATATGAAAGGTCCCCAAACTGGCAATTGTATCTCACAAATCTAAAACAACATTAAAGAAGCTCATGAAATGTATATGTGCAAAAGAAAGACATTACTCGACAAACACTTCAAATTTCTACCTTCCTTAACTCCTTTTCACTTCTGTTTATCAAAATATATTCTGGGAGGGAACCTAATAGAGCATAAACTATAAGCACCAATATGCACTTCAAATTTGAGAACACCAATATATTAACTAATATTCAAAAACATACATTCATAAGTCTACACCAATACTCAAACATATATTGATAAGTTTAGATCAATATATTATACATACTAGTGGATACTAAACCAACACCAACTACAACATCATTTGAAGAACAAATATACAATAGAAAAAAAAGCCATGACAACATTAGCCCAATGCGATATTTCTTCTCGTTGCCTAAACACTTGAAGTATTCAATCAACATTTCTTCAGCTTCAATTTTCATCTGTTTCAATTCACTTCTTATTTCAATTTTTTATTTTTCACTTGCAACTTCTTCAACTTTTCTCCCAGAACTGCTCTTGAGTCCCCTAAATTAGCCACATACAATTGACCATCAGAAAGCGCACCCATAAGGCCGCAGCAAGATCCAACTGAAGCAATCTGTGGCATTACTGGCAGAGATGTCTTAACTAATCCTATGAAATCCTCTTCTGTCGCATGAAAAGCCTTTCTAATGACATCCGTTGACAATCCCCCTTGCTCTCTGGCAAATTCTGAGCAAAACAGAATACACAAATAAGATATAAAAGTGGCTAGATATCATTCAAGGCTTATAAGTTGAGAAAAATCAAATCCTCCCATCTTAATACTCGAATTTTCAGAGCCCTGGATGAAGTTGAAACATTGAGCTTAAACTAACAAAAGGGAGAAAACACGGTATCAAAAGCTTGAAGCACCATCATATCCAAGCGCTAGCGAACTACTAGCTTACCGATGCACATGTAATTACACACAGATATATATTGGGGAGAAAAGACAAATCAAAGTAATTCACTCACGTTGCATATAAGTCAAGAGATGGCGATTGACGAATCTGGAGGCTTCAGGGCCACCGTGGCCGTCGTAAACGCCGACGTAAGTAGCGGATTGCGTGAACCAGATTTGAAATGAGGAAGAAGGTGTTAGACAAGGTAATCGCAGGTGTGATGAAGTGCGAAGGAAGGAGAAGTTAGGCGTGAAGGGTATTATTAAAACCTTAACCGGTATTACTTTTTAATAAACCCTTTAACAACCGGTAAATAATACGTTGGGACCGTTTACGGAAGGGAGAATAGAAAGGTTGGTTTTTTCTTGAATTATTAATAAATGGGACCGTTTTGGGAAGACTGAGTAAAGGTTGGATTATTAGTGTTAAAATTTCCTTTTTTTTTTAAATTTGGAGAGCTTATGTCAAATCTTATTCCTACGAAACTTATCGCTCCCACTTACAAATAGAGAATTTTGTTTTAATAATACTTCATCCGTCTTATTTGACTTTGTCAACTTTCTTTTTTTTGTTATCCAAAAAAACTTTGTCACCTTCATCCTAAAACAACTAATTTGTAGTTCCACTCAATTCTCTCTCCTCTACACAACCCATTTTTTTTTTAATTTCTCACCTATTTTGAACTTGGCAAAGTCCATCGGAACAGAGGAAGTATATCTAATACGAAGTATATGTGACTAAAAAATGTTATGGAGAGTACTTTTTATTACGCCATGTAAACTTTTTACTCCGTTAGGAACAAGCTGAAGTGCATTATGAGCTCTAATAATGTAAACTAGTGCTCTTTAGAGCCCGTTTGGCAGCAAGAAAATCGGCTGTTTTGGCTGATTCTGCTGAAATTTATGAATTTCTGGCTGAAGTGGCTGTATTGGCTGATTCTGCCGATTTAAGAAAAAATTATTATTAAAATATATTTTAGTAATGAAATAAAGAAAAAATTATATGTAAAAATAGCTAAAATGGTTATCTACAGTAACTTCAGTCAATACAGTCAGAAAAGTAACCACAACCTTACTTTTTCTGCTTATTACACAATTAAGTGCGCGAAATCAAAAGTTAGGTGTTCGATGAAAAAGTTAGCTGATAAGCCTGATAAGCCGAAAAAAAGTGTTGTCAAACGGCCTCTTAGTCTTTACTACGTTAGAGACAAATTGAAGTATCGAAACAGCATCTTCGGATCTTCCTCGTTTAATAATCGTATTGTAGTATTTATATGTATATCGTTTTCTTATATATATATATTACTATAGCATATGAATGAAATGAATGACTATATTAGTTGTGTTTAATTATGATTATTAGCTAAATATATCCCCAACTATCATCAAATTCACAAATTTATCCTATACTTTCACTTTTATTAAAAAAAAGACTCAAACTTCAATTTTTCTCACAATTCCGATCCACTTTGAATGGATAAATTAGTAAAACTTAAGAAGAAAATTATATTGGGAAAATGGAAACTAATAATCCAACCTTTTAGTGGTCTTCTTATAATAGTCACACATTTTGATTATTCATGAATAATCCAACCTTTGCACCTCATCTTCATTCACTGGTCCCTGACCGGTTGATGACCTGTTATTCCAAGTTATTTTCTTATCTTTGCAAAATATTATCTTTGTGAAAGGTGAGTTTTATGGTATAACGGTTTACAAAGATAAGAAAATAACTTGGAATAGCATGTCATCAACCGGTCATGGACCAGTGAATGAAGATGAGGTGCAAAGGTTGGATTATTCATGAATAATCAAAAGGTGAGACTATTATAAGAAGACCACTAAAAGGTTGGATTATTAGTTTCCATTTTCCCAATCATATTTATACTCCCTCCGTCCCAGGGAGAAATTCCCACTTTCCTTTTTTGGTAGTCCCAACAAAAAGTTCCCATTTCCCTAAATGGAAAGTTATCCTACATCAAAACAGTGTCAAACAGTGCAAAACAGTGCCAAACAGTGTCGAAACAGTGCCAAACAGTAAAATTTACCCCTCAGTAACTTTATTTCCTAAATATGTGTGAAAGTCAACCCGGGAACTTCTCCCTGGGACGGAGGGAGTATTTTTTATTTTTCACTTCTTTCTAGTTTTAAGTTTGAAATTTGTATTGCTTATATCTTAATGGCATTGATAAAAATATGTAATTTTGAAAAAAACAAAAAAGAAAAGCACAAATGTTGAAAAATATGAAGTTTGAGTCTTTTTTGATAAAAATGAAAGAATATGATAAATTTGTGAATTTGATGATAGTTTGGAATAAAATAAGCTAATAATCATTTTAATTACCATGATTATGAAATGCCCGATTAGAACCGTGAATGACACTACATACATACTAATTTTAATGACTTCTTATTCAAAAAATTTACTTCTGTAATATTTTACGAAAACACCTGTTTTTTGTATGATGATAATACTTAAATCCACTCTAAAGTATGGTACTTTTTATGCAATAGAAAATAATAAGAAATACTTACAAATTAAAATAAAATTTGTTTAAAAAAGAAATACTATCTTCATAATAAGGGTCTGTTTGCAACTGCTTTTAAAAAAGCATTTCTTAGTTTATGGCTTTAAAAAAGCACTTATTTTCCCAAACACTACAACTTTTATTTTTCTCGGCTTCCGCGTCAAAAGTGCTTTTACTTTTTCTATTACACAAAAAACACTTATTTTACCAAACACTACCCACTTTTACTTTTCAAAATCACTTTTTTCTCAAACACTATCAACTTTTATTTAATCACTTCTCCCTATTTCATTAAAAAAAGCACTTTTTAAAAGCAGAAGCTGTTGCAAATAGACCCTAAGGGTAGTGGATAAAGATGTGCCATAGTAACTTTTAGAGACTAGATATGTTCAAATTTTACATACTGATAAATTTATTTATAGTAATTTATGTTTAATTTTTGTACTTAAATTGATTTTTACACTTAAATTAATTTTTACACTTAAGTGAGCATGACACTAACTCATATGAACTTTAATCATATTTTTGTAAATAATTTTATTACAATAATATTTATGAAAAATCTCAAATAATAACTTAATAATACGGAGTACTTCTTTTATGTGGCTGTTAAGTCTGAAAATTAAGAATTGTCTTTAGGCTTGATGCCTTGAATAGATTTACTCAATATCACATTGGGCCGTCGTATGTTTAATCGGCCCAATTCGTTGCCCGCCTGCAATAGAAACCCTAACCCCTTTAGCCTTCCCTCCTTTATGCTTCTCGCGAAGTTGACCGAAACACTCCCTTCACCTTCACCAGCTGCGCATCTCACTGTAGACGGAGCTCCTCTCTTTCCACCGTGAATAAGGGGACTTGTAAGCTTCTTGTAATCCATCCTATGCTGTTAAGTGTAAAACTGTAAACCAATTTTGGGTATGGATAAAACTATTAACTTTTATACGCTTGAAAATGAACACCTGGTTTATTCGCTACCTTTGGTTTCCTTGTAAGCGTGATGATCGAGTATGTTAGTTTGTAATCTATCTACAATAGATTGTTTTTTTTCTTGTACTTTAATATATCTTTTACTTCGAACCTATTTATGACAAAAATTGAGTTTCAAGCTTGATGGTTTTAGTTACATTGTAGAGTTAAAAAATATTTTAGCTTTTGTGTTGAGAAATTCCGTAGTTCTTTTTTCGCCTAGTAAACGTCAATGGGATTTGAATTGTTTTCTTTGGTTATGATTCAGTCTTTGAAAGATGGTGAGAGTCAGTGTGTTGAATGATGCCCTCAAGAGCATGTATAATGCTGAGAAGAGAGGAAAGCGTCAGGTCATGATCAGACCCTCTTCAAAAGTGATCATCAAGTTCCTTTTGGTTATGCAAAAGCATGGTATGCTCAATAGTTATGTAAATTGTTATACTACGTATTATTCTGTGGATAAGCTGTTCATGTGCTTATTATTCTATGTTTATCTTGCAGGATATATCGGGGAGTTTGAGTATGTGGATGACCACAGATCTGGTAAAATTGTGGTTGAGCTGAACGGAAGGTTAAACAAGTGTGGCGTCATTAGTCCTCGTTTTGATGTTGGTGTTAAGGATATTGAATCATGGACTGCCAGGCTGCTTCCTTCAAGACAGGTTTGTTGCTAAGAGAAAAGTGTTGCATTTATTTTCTTTTAACTATATATGCTTTTATTCACAGGTCCCTCTAATGAATTTGAGGGCCCTTGTTGTAAGTATTATTTGACGCCCCACATTAAAACATTATAAGTAAACAACTGCCACAGTTCAACAAAATATACTCCATAATTGTTTTTATGAAGTACAAATAAAATAATCTTAATTATGTAAATATCAAATGATGGTGATCTTTAACAAGACCAAAACTAGTGCAGTTTTAAAAAAACATAATATTTCTGAAACTAATGCATAGAACTGAGTTATATGATCTTGGTTTGCGTTAGCCTTCAATTTTCTGTCTGCACAATTTGAAACTTTGAAGAACTCTTATTTTTTGCCGCATGCAACATACGTTGCTTGAAACTTCACCAGTTCAGCCCTTCAATTTACATATTTATTTAAGCCTGCATTAATTACTGGATTAGTGGAAATATTGAGTCCCTTCGAAAGTGTGGGCCTGTTCTCAAAAACTGTATTAACTGGTTGTTAGCCAGCCCTATTAATCCATTTCCCCCTTGGAGTAATGGAAAATGCTGTAGATTTTGTTTGGAGGATTTTGAAGTAGTTTAGAAGGGAAGGATTTGGTAGTTCAAGTCTACGCTTTAAACTGGATTTTTTTTGTAAAAGTCATTAAAAAATGGATGAAATTTTATTTTATCAGGTATTATATATATTTGAGTTTGACTAAATCTATGATTTACTGTATGTAGTCAATAGAGTTACCTTCCTAAGTCCTAAACCTTAAATACAGACTTGAATGACTGGCCATGTATGTTGTATAACTAGACGTGATATCAGGTGGTATGACTATCCAACTATGAATTTGGGAGAGCTACCTGCTATTACCCCTTGTTCAACATTCTTTATAATCCATTTGAAAAGGGTAGTTGGCCGTTGGCTGAAGTTGGTCAAAACCTCTACCATAGTAGTCACGGTGCACGGCGACCGGCATGGTGCAGGGGTAAATTCACACGGCGATGGCGCTAAAATGGCGCTAAAATGGCACACCAGTAAAACACAACAGCAAAAAAATTTAAACATTACCTATACACAATATACGTGTATGACTTATACACCAATTAAAGAGTTAAATTTTTAAATAGTCAAAATAGCACCAAAAAATATTCCAAATTAAATTAAATAACTGATATGGTCAGACCTTCCAGTCAACTGGCCCACAAAAAATGAGAGCATGTGAAAAACAAAGAGAAACAGAGAACTGCTTGTCTTGTCTGCTTTTAACTTTACCAAAAAAAGAGAACGGGTTTTAGAGAAAGGCTTTTAAGTAATTTTGTCAGACTTCAATCTCAAAAGGAGAAGAACTAAAACCACGAAGCAAGCAGTCTGCGTGGATGACAAGTGATTAGAGTCGGCGACCAATTTCAGCAACAATCGACAGCCACGCAACCAGCTACAGCGACGGCCACCAGGTACAGCGATTGCGACGGTGACCAGGTACAGTGACTACGACGACGACCAGCTACAGCGACTGTGACCATCAAACCAAAGTCGCGACACAGACGCGTGCGATAGCGCCATTATTTGGCGCAAAATGGCGAGAACAAGGCGATAGCGCACATTTGGCAACGCAACATGTAACCCCTGCGCCATAGCCAAAATTTGTGGCGAAGACCCCCTGAATCGCCAAAGGCGAGAAATGGCGAGCGCCATTTACGCCATTGACTACTATAACCTCTACTGGTTCTGTTAGTCAATTATAGCTTACAAAACTGATCTGAAAATCTGTGTTGTCTAGTGAATCTTCAGATATTTCACCCCCATGATATACATATTGAATTGCATTTAGTTCTATCACTAATATCTGAGTTGTTTCAACTTGGCAGTTTGGCTACATTGTGCTCACTACCTCTGCTGGCATCATGGACCATGAAGAAGCAAGGCGCAAGAATGTTGGTGGGAAAGTTCTTGGTTTCTTTTATTAGAAAACATGTTTTGTTGTCTGTTTTGTTTGAATCCCTTTTTTAATCAATAGTGATGAGCGGATCTTGTTTTGGAATGATGTTATTTTTGATGGCTAATTATTTTGAGCAAATCGTACTGGATGTTTGTTAATCAATTATCATTTTGTTTTAAGCTCATTAATTTCATACAGGTTATTTCCTTCATTGTTTGGATATTTCTTTCTCTTTACAGAGTTTTGCAGTCTATATTTCATTTCGATGTATTTAACCATGCCCAAACCAGTTCCAGACCAAAGATGGACTGGGATTGTGAGATTGAGCATTTGGTAAACCTAAAAATGAACTGATAACCCGGTTCGTAGAATGGTATACAACTATATGACCCCGTTCCAAACTTCCAATATTTAAATCGTGCTGTGAAATTCGGAACTTCCTGACCTGCAAAGTCCAAATTGGCTTGTATGTGGCATGTGCATACTATACACTATACAGTCTATACATGTGGAATGAAATATAGTCACATAAATATTATCAAATAAATTATATACCTCCTTATTTGAATGGTTTTATTCAATTATGGTTAGGCATTTAGGCATGGACCGGTATCGGCTCGGGATTCTATCGGGACCCGGCCGGGTTCTATATTTTTTTTTCTTTTCTAATTAATTCCTACCCCCACCCCCCCCAAACCCCGCCAAAACATCTTGCCCAACCTAGGCCTGGGACCGGTTCGGTTCCTAGGCCAAATATGTGGAACCGTTTGAAAATATGATGGCCTGTTTACTAACAGAAATATTTTCCAGTTTTCCAGAAAACTGGAAATCTGGAAAACAGAAAACAGGAAACGTGTTTACCAAAGAAATTCCTGGAAAACTGGAGAAAGGAAAAAAGAAAAACGCGTTTACCAAATCGTTTTCCAAAACGGAAAAAATGAAACATGTCTCTCTTTTCCTTAATGATTTGGAGAAGTGACTTTTACTAGTTTTCCAAATTTGGAAAACGCAGATGCTACAGTGCCTTTGCAATGAATTTGCATACTTACACCTAGTGGTGGGTCCGGTCCTGCTCCGATGTCGATTCCATTCCGGTACCTCCATCCTCGTACCTTACCCCTTACCCCTACCCTACCCACCCAACCCCAACCCCGCGTACCCATTTTTCCCTATAATGACCTTACCCCACCCCCCACCACATGCCCCGACCTCGGCCCCACCCCGATTCACCCTACCTTACCGCCACCCCCCTACCACCTCGACCCCACCTCGATCCACCCTACCCTACCGCCACCCCCCTACCACCTCGACCCCACCCGACCCACCCCACCCTACCCCCACCCCTCGTATATTACCACTTACCCCTACCTTACCCCTTACCACATGCCTCCTACCTCGGCCCCACCCCACTGCCATCCTACCCCCACCCTCGTACCGCCATCCTACCCCCACCCCCACCCTACCCTACCTCGGCCCCACCTTACCGCCATCTTATCCTAACTCCCTACCTTACCCCAACTCCGAACCCTACCCACTACCCCCCACCCTTACCGCCATCCTACCCCCCCACCCCACCCCTTCCTTATCCCGGCCCCACCCTGGTCCCGACCCCACCCTACCGCCACCCTATCCCAACTCCTTACCCTACCCCTACCTTACCCCAACCCCAAACCCTACCCACTACCCCCCACCCTTACTGTCACCCTACCCCCCACCCTACCCCAGCCCCACCCTGGTCCCGACCCCACCCTACCGCCATCCTATCCCAACTCCCTACCCTACCCCTACCTTACCCCAACCCTACCCACTACCCCACCCTTAACCCTAACCATGACCCTAACCCACCCACTACCCCCACCCAACCCCCAACCCCCAACCCCTAGACCTTACCACCCCACCCCGACCATACCCCTTACCCCACCCTCACCCATAACTTCCCTACTTTGACCCCTACGAGTAGGTATGGGTGGGTATGAAGGGTTGTGGTGGAGTATGGGTAGAGTGTAAGATCATGGTAAGGGTAGATGTATGGGTCAAGGGTGTGGAATTGGAGAACTGTGTGAAAAAATTGATGAACATGTTTTCAAATTTGAAAATGGAAAACTAAAAAATAGAAACAGAAAATTGGAGATAGAAAAACTGAAAAATAAAAACAGAAAATTGGAGAACGAAAAACAGAAGTAGAAAACAGGAAAATATCTCTGTTAGTAAACAGGCCCTGAAATTTTACTAACGGTTCGGTTCTTATAAATTATTTTATAGAACCGATAAGGAACCGAACCGTTCTTAACGGTTTGGTTCTTGTCATTTAACGGTTCCTAGTCTTCGAAAAAATGCTTATAAATCATGACTAAATTTTTGCCAAAAAGGCATTCTATGTTTGAAATTACGATACAAATATGCTTAAACAGAGAATAATAATTTTAAATACTTGGACCCTCAAAGTTCCGACCCACTGGAGTTTGGACCTAATGAGAGGCCTAAGAAGCCTAAGAGAATCGGTTGAAGTGAATAATAGTTTTAAATAGTTGAATAACTAAACAAAAATAATGAATGTAATATAAAAATAAGTAAGTAAATATACATTAAAATATATATGCTCATAAGAAATATATATAATTTTAATTATTATATATAACGGTTCCTTAATGGTTCCTAGTACATATTTTTTTCAGGAACCGAGAACCGAACCATTAATAAAAAATAGGAACCGAACCGTTAAAAAATAACTAATAAATGTTGGAACCGAACCGAACCGGGTCATAACGGTTCGGTCCGGTTCGGTTCTCCGGTTCTTAGTTCCAAAGTCCCAGCCCTAGCCCAACCCGCTTACCACCAAAATAATTCGGGAAAAAGAAAAAAAATTGGGTCCGGACCTATTCCGGACTGGTCGGGCCGGTTCCAAGAGGGGCTGAGCCCATGACCCGCCCCAAACCCCCTCTGGTCTGGGCCCAGGCTTGGTCCCTGTTCACCGGGCCGGGCCGGTAGCCCGGTACCACACAGTAGCAGTTCCGGTCCATGCTTACTTTTGGTAAAATTTTCTCCACAATGTCAAGAAGACCGTGTAGATGTTGACATTATGATTGACATTGTGGTTGACCTTGTAGAGAAAAACTAACCAAACTTGTATATAATCATTTAAATAAGAAATTCAAATCAGGTCTGAGACTGAAAATAGTCAAGGAAAAACATCTTTACATTGCGGTCTCTGTCGGATTAGACTGGCCCAAAAGCAAATCTATTGTAGTTAAGTAACACATATGTTCTACAAAAGCAACATAGCGAATATTCATCGATTGATAAGAAAACAACCAAGAAAATAACATATATAAATGGGAGTAGCACATATATAGCAAATATCTAATGGGCTAAAACAAATATCACACTTTAATAACAACATCAATCATCAGGTAACGAATTGTGATTGATAATTTTAATCTTTTTGAAACTAGAACCTAATAAAAGGAATCACAATATAGCAAGCATAATATAATCAATGTCCACATGCGATGGTTGTGACATAATTAATGGCAAGGAGTTCGGGGAATCAGGGGTGTTTGGAAGAAGTCATCGGCATGTATGAGATACAATTGGCCGTCTATGTTTATGAGAGATGATTTTTTTGGTTAAAGAGATGTCACCATGTGACAGTGATGAAATTAAAAATTTGATAGTGGAAAGGCCAAAGAGCAATATAAGCGAGCCTTTAAGGGACTATCATGTTAATTTTTTTTATCATCAAAACAGACCTCTATTCATATCAAAAGATTCAGGATCATTACATCAAGCGAAGAGGAAATAAAACTGACACCAACTGAGATTCCAACAACTACGACTGTAACCCTATGGTGAGATTTTGAGACGGTCACCCCTGAGAGAGCAACACGAATCGATTACCATGTAGTGGGCTTGACACATGCAAACATGTTCACATAGATCCAACCATACCCAATGACATAAATAGAGGAAAAAAACTCAAACAAACTGTCAAAACCAACAACAAAAATGGACCCAAGAAAACAATTAACAAACAGATAAAAACTACAAGAAAAACTTTCACGAACTCTAGCACATCGTACATCCCATGGTGGTGGTTCGGGAGGAGGTCGTACACCAGTACCATGCTAATTGGTCCTCCATAACCTTTGGCTGCCAAAGACCATGCATCAATCCTTCGTCCCTGCATAACCAAACTCATCCCTGCTCCGTACGACCAGAGTAAACGGATAGGCGACGCCGATCTTCTCCAACTACGACAGCAACGCTGCATCCTCGAACCTTGACCACAACGCTGATCTCCTCGAGCCATGACAGCAAATCCGCCCTCCTCCACCGATCTCCGCCCTCCGCGTCTAACCTGGACTTCAGCCGAGCACCAGCGACCAAGAGACAACAAAGTCGATCTTCGATAAAGTCGAAATCGGAAAAAAGCTCCATCGGTCGACATAATCGAAGCCCTAGAGAGAAAACAAGTAATTGTCTATCATGTTAATTATGCACCTATTCATCCATAAAAAGTTGACTTCACATGTATTAGTAAGCTAATAGTATAGTTTGACTTAAACTCACGTTTTTGGGTCATATAATACTTGACATTCTATTTCAAAATCATTAATATGTGCACTATTTTCAAAATCATCAATATTACATTCTATTTTAAATTGACGATTTGCAAATATGAATAATGTTGAAAATAGAATACACTCGAATAGAGTCACTGTATTTTGGCTCAAATACAATACATTGGCTTAAACCTTAAACCTCTCCCCCTACCCAATGGCGCAAATTTTAAAATTTTGCGAGTCCTGTCACCTGTGAATGAGTGGATGAATGAATAACTCAGTGGGAAAAGAGCGAGTCACTGAGTAGTAGTGACGAATAATTTTGGATGAAAAAGCGCGCGGCCGAGTTGATCTTCACTTATTAGGGTTTCAATTTCACTGATCAGCCCCTCATACTGAGCTCCCCGAACAGAAACAGACTGGAGAAACACTTGTTTTCAATGGCGGATACTCTGAATACGAACAACCAAGCTCTTACCGTCACCAAGACCGTAGACGCTTCACTCTGGTGGGACTCATTTTCTATCTTGCTCACAGAACTTGAAAATGTTTCTTCCTCATCCGATACTACATCTTCTCTGGTACTGTATATCATTTCCGCTATCTCAAATAAATAAAGGGAATTATATGCAAACATTCGAGTTTGACATTTTATTTTTTCCAAACCAAGGAAACAAAGCTGAAGGAAAATCAC